CAAGGGGCTCCCGACCGCTGGCCACCGGGGCTCCTAACCCGGAGCGCCCCTGACGCTCGCCCTCTCCGGGACTTATAAAGCTACTTTGTTACAAACGCAGCTCCCGCCCCTCTGCGCCCTCGGGCTGCGCCTTAGCCACAGCCTCTGCACGGGGCCTCCGGGGTCGGGGAGGGGGGCGTCAGGAGACCAGGGAGGAGGGGCTAGGGCAGGGCAATCCTGAGCGGAAAGCCTCCCACCCCAGACTCCTGGCACCAGCTTCCCTGAGCCCAGTGCCCAGGCGCAGACTCAAGGGTGCCCAAAGCGCCCTAGCCAACGAGCCCAGCGCCCTCCCCAGAGCCCCTTCGGAGCCCCCAGCCCAGCACCCCAGATCCCCAGGGCCAGTACACAGCCGCTCTTCCCCTTCCGGCCCCCCAGTCCACCGCCAGCCCCCTCCTGCGCTCCTCGCCGGTGCCTGCCTCCTCTCCACGTGGTTCCGCGCACGACCTGGCTCGGCTGCCGGCCTTGCAGCCCTGGGATCCTTCACGTCCCGCGCACGGGGAGCGGCTCTGACAGAGACCCTCAGAAGGAAAAGGGAGGTGTGACAAGATCGCGAGCCTGTGCTGTGGGCTCGGGGGACCGATCCGAGGAGTGGGTGGGGGGCTCCGCGCTCCGTCGGCAGCAGGACCGGAAACCGCCAGAGGGCGCGCACGACCCGCCGTGTGTCCCAAACCAAAAAACCCCCCTGACTCAGACAGACCGGATAGGACCAAGGTTTCCATCATTGCAATTCTTTACAAGCGTTGAAAGCATCTTTCTGCCGAGCCACAGGCTGGTGGTTTCAAACTGCTGACCTTGCAGTTAGCAGCCCCATGTGGACCACTGCCACTAAGATTCCTAATGTCCCCAAGACAGCAAGTAAAGAGGGAACGAATCCCACTGGGACTGGGAGACTGTGCTACTACTTCCTGTCCCTGCCAGACAAGGGGGGCTCCCACCTGCTGCAGTGACAAGCTTCACCCTAGGGTGTGGGACCTTGGTTGAGGGTCAGGAGGGCACGTTTGTCGACAGGGAGTGGGGGGAAGCGGGACTGAATCCCTTCCAGCAGGCAGGATGGGGCTCGCAGGTCTGCAGCCTGGCTAGCTCCGGGTTGGCCCTCAGCCTCTCAGATGCCTGAGGGCAGTGAATTGGGGCTAGGGTGGGAGAGGGGGTTGTGCTGGCCTCACACCGGCAGGCCTGGAGATGCCCTGCAGGGCTCCCCGCCAGGGTCTTCAGCAATGCCCGGCAGGGGTCACCGCACAGTGCCCACTACATCTCCTGGGCTTCTGTACCCCAATGTCTCCTGCTTTGCCAACATTATGATGAGATTCTCATTGTCCATACACCCCTTGTGGTCAAGGTCTGGTGTGTCCCCATGGGGATGGCCAGCACTGGCTAGCCCTCCCCACTGGCAGGGGCTATGCCACTGCAGAAGAAGTTCCTGGTACCTCTCCCTGCTACCTGATGACAATACAGTCCCACCTGGGACAACTTACCTGGGACCTGGAGCTGGCACAGGAGACAGCATGTCTCAGTGTGGCCTATCCTATACGGTCCCTGAAGCTCTGGACTATATCTGCTGCCCTCTTGTCTCTGGGACCAGCCCTGCTTCAAAGCCTGAGCAGATCTTGTTGACTAAACAAGACTTCTGGGAGTTCCGCTCCTCCTGGGGGGGGGTGTCACATATCCCTACACACACCCAACCTGGGTCCCCAGCCCCACCCACACCCCTGTGAGGGCTTCCCAAGTGACTTAAATTCAGAGAGGCTCCTCTCCCCCTCCCTCTGCTCCCTCTCCTCTTGCTTCCCTCTTCCCTCCTCCCTCCTCCCTCCTCCCTCCTCTCATTCTCTCCCTCCCTCCCCTTCTCCAGAGACAATCCCCCTGAGGGAATCCTGGAGGTGAGGAACTCAAAGCCTGACTTCCACTGCAGAAGGTATGGGTGGGGCCCAGCTGACTCCAACTCTGACCCAGGCATGTGCAGACATACGCACACATGCACACCTTCCCCTCATCTCTGTCCATCTGGAGGGCTGGTCAGCCCTGCCTCTCACCTGGGCACTTGCTGGGCCCCCTCAGTCCCTGACAGACCGAGCCTGGCCTTTCTGGTGGTTTCAGCGCCAAGGAGACACCTCACAAGCCCACCATCCCTGGCAGCACCACCATCCGGGTCCCCTTCAACCCCTGGAATGTGTCTAAGGGAGGTACACGCAGCACCCCAGTCCCCATCTACTTCCTGCTCAATAGGAAGCTCTCTGGAAAGACTGCATCGTGGGCGGTGGGGAGGGGAGGCCTGTGCCCCTTTCCCCAGCCCCAGCACAGCTGTTTAGGGGCCTTGAAGCTCTCCTAGGGAGTGGAGAGGGACCACCGTCTCAGCAGACTGGGGAGTGAGGTCAGGCCCTGGTCACAAGAGCCAGCCAAGGAGGATGGCCTGGTTGGGGTCCCTGGTGGCCTGTCCTGATGGCGCATCCTGTCTGATCAGTGGTCACATGTCCCCACATCTGGAGCAGCTGGGACCACAGCACCCCCACACACACCATCCACAAGCCCCTGGGGTTGCTCTGAGGCCAGGCAGGACTCAGTCCAGCTGGAGGGCAGGGTACCCCTACACTGGCTGAGTCTCAGTGCAGGGAGGAAAGAGGCCCCTACCAGCCAGGTGAGGGGGTGGGGTAGGCGCCACTTCAGCAGGAAATACTTCTGGGAACTGAGGGTGGACGCTTATCTCTGGCCCTTATCTCCGGCTGAACTACAGCACGGCAGCTGTGACCGTGTGTAGGGCCAGGCGGTGGTTTCCGGGACAGCTAGAGCTCGGCTCCTGGGCGTGACCCCTAAACACCGCTTAGGCACACAGGTCAGCCTAGGCTGCCTCTCCTCCCCCAGCCACTGTGTCCAGGCCTTCAGCAGCCCCCCACCATCCCCTCAGCTCCGAACTTGGATCTGTCAGATGTCCCTTCCTAGGTAGGAACCTACACTCAACACCTCCTGGGCCCCCCTCAAGCCTCAGCACCCCTCTCTGCCAGCCCACCCCAATAGGGTAGATTGTGTGTCAGGTGCTTGGCCCAGAGGGTCTGCGGCCTCTGGGAGAACAGGACCAAGGCTAGCTCGGTGGGGCTTGGTGGAGGGGGCAGGTGGGACTCTGAGACCACTGGAGGGAAGGAAGCCAGGACCAGGGTGAGGGGCAGAGCTACAGCATGACCCTACTGGGTGGGAGCTGGGGGGTGGGGGGGGTACTCCCTGACCTCTCCTCAGCCTGCCTTCTCCCTCTGCTGTCCCTGTGCCCAGGAAGCCAGCAGCCCCACCCTTTTGTCCCTGGAGACCCCAGGGGGCCTCTGCAAAGCAGAGACTACCTCAGGTGACCTGAACACCTAGTGGGCAAGGTGGTGCCAGGCAGCAAGGTGAGGAAGGTGGTCAGCCAGGGCACAGCACACAAGGGAGGCCTTGACGGAGCCCTCGTGGGTACTGCCTGGAGTGGGGAGGGCCCCCAAGAGTCCCTCACATCGCTTCAGAATCCCCCGCCCACTCTGTCAGCACGGCCTGGGCCTGCCCGCTGACACGCAGGGGAGGCTGCCCACGAGGAGTTTCCAGGCTGAGTCAGTCAGGTGGCGAAGCGCCCGGCACCTGGGCTCAGGCTCACACGTCACAGACTGGCTTCTTGGGAAGCCAGTGTGTGGGGGCGTCCTGACTCCCGGCCCGCTGTGCGGAGCTGATCTGGCGCCTGGGGAGGGTCCCAGGATAGCCAAGAGCATCGGAGGGGAGGAGGGTCCCGGTGGAGGAGGTCAGAGAGGTGGGTCTTCAACAGGGCCAGGGGCCATTGGCTGGGTCCCTTTCTGGAACCTTCTGCCTCCAGGCTTGGTTGGCATTACTCCCCCTGCTTTTTCAGACCCTAACTGCCACCCAGACCCACTGCCACACACATCGCTGCTATTTTCCTCCCTGCTGCTTCCTACTGCAGGTGGGGTCTGGGACCAGAGCCCAGGACTGCAGTGGGCAGGGGAGGGTGGCTGGTCAGTATTTCTGGTTGCAGTCAAGTCCTGAAGGGCAGCTCACACCCTTGCTTCCAGGGCAGAAGGGGATTGTCCACTGCCTGCCATTTCCAGGTGTCTCCTTACGACCCTGGGATCACAGGCTGTGTTGTCTTGTCCCTTCCGATGGAGGGGACCAGCAATGCCTCCGCCCTCAGTGTCTCTATGGAGCCTGGGTACTGTTCCAATGGGCAGGGTAGGAGTGGAGTGCCCACTAGGTGAGGGGACAGGTGAGTCAGGGGCACCTGGGGCGGTGTAGGGCGAGGGCCAGTGGGGGGGGTGTCCGCTACATGTCTAGAGACCGACACAGATGCATTGGCAGGGCCTGGGTGTGCCAGCACCCCAGGGTGCTCCTGCCGAGGCTGGTCTGTGTTGGTGTACCAGGTGGGACGAGAGCAGCCACACCTGGGACAGCCTGCCAGATGTCACCAGCAGGCAGCCAGTGTGTGTGTGTGGGGGGGGCGGGGATCAGGAGCCCCAGGGGGAGGAGAGGCAACAGGGTCAAGCCAGGCCAGCCAGTGAATACTGGGCAGAGAAAAAGACTTAACTCTGGTTACAGAGCCCCTCTCTGTCCCTGATGGGGGTAGGGGTGGGGATGGGGGTGAGGCTGCCCTGGGACCAGGCAGATACCCAGGCAGATGGTCAAGGAGGATGGTGGCCAGGACAGCCACGAGGCAGGAGCTCAGCCCAGCACCAGCAGGTTTCCGGAGGCCCCTGTCCATACTCTGTGAAAGGAATGTCCCCCGACTGCTCCCACCCCAAGCCCAGTCATCGGCCTCCAGGGGAAGCCAGGTTCTCCCAGTGGACACCGGTGGGGCCCTTACCCTCATCTTCCTGATACCCCACCCCAGAAACACAAGGGCAAGCAGCTCAGTGGATAAATATTCATTGACGACCACCTGGCCAGGCACTGGGCACCACAGCACAGCTCCCAGCCCTGGCCAGCGCTCTGGCCTCCGGAGTCCACCCAGCAAGGCCGGTAAGGGACAAACAAGGCCGGTAAGGGACAAACAAGGCCTCGAGGCCATAGCTGTCTCCAACAGGGCCCGGCCATCTCAGCTGCCTCCGTGATCAGGGGACACGTCACAGTCACCATCCTTTACCCACTTCCACCGCTGAGGGGAGCAGGGCTGGGCCCAGAGCTGGGGTCCAAGCAGGGCTGCCCCCCACCCCCACCCTAGGGAGCATCTGGGAGGGGCTGCTCGGTGCTGCAGGTCCAGGGCTCCTGGCCCTGGGGAGGATGGCCGGGGCCTCACACCCACAGGTCCCTGAAGCAGCTCTTCTCTTCCACCAGCCGCTCCCCCCGCTCCTCCTCAGGAAACTGGCAACTGCGTGTGTCCTCCATCATGGGCACCCCCAGGGGCAGCTTCGTCCCTGCAGGAAGTTGCTGTCAGGTGTGTCCGGGGCGAGGGAGACCCCCCCCCTTCCGACCCCCGACCCCGGTTCCCCACTGACCTTGGTGCCACGTGTGCGTTCGCCTGAGCGCCCACATGTGCAAGCCCAGCAGGGAGGCCACCAGGATGAGAATGCAGGCGGTAATGGCCAGCAGGGCCAGGGTCAGTGGGTGGCACGGCTCAGCAGGAGGCCCCAGGCCACACACGGCGTTGTGGGTCCCGTTCCCAGGAAACACAGTGTGGAACCCGAGCTGGGAGCAGCTGGACCCAGACACAAGAGACCCGGTCAGCATGGCGCCCGAGCAGCCCCACCCCGCTGCTGCCTTCTGGGCTCTTGGGTGGTCACCAGCACACCTCCCAGCCCTGGGGTTACTGAGCTGGGAGGGACTGGAGATGCCATAAGCCATTCACCCCCAGCCTGGTGCCCCCAAAGTAAGCCTGGACTTCCTGGACCCTCCAGGGACCCCTCCCCCCTTTTGCTGAACTCACCCCGCCAGTGGCTTGCAGCGGCCATCACGGCCCGCAGAGAAGGTTCCAGCAGCACACTTAACGCAGTCAAAGCCAAACTTGAATTTCCCTGGGGACCGACAGATAAACAGACAGGCTGCAGCAGGTGCTGGGGCATGAGGCAGAATGATAGCCCAACCACGTCATCCACTCCACAGAGCACTCTGAAGCCGCAGGCAAGCCGGCCGGCCTGTGTCAGACACAATTCCGTGGTACCATGTGGGGCAGTGACAGGGTTTTCCAAGATGAATAAGTGCAGGGGGACGTGGAGGGCGGGGCGACGGAGGAGTTGGCAGGAAGAGCCAACAGGGTGCCAATCTAGTCCAGCTGGCTGCCCTTGGGGTCGGGGGTCCTGAAAGACGGGCTGAGGTGGGCACCCTGCAGACCCCGGACCAAGCAATTCCTCCTCTGGTCCAAGCTAGTCCAACTTCACAGCACCTGCCACCTCCTCACCCACTCAGGCACCCCCAGCTCCTACTCTCAGCAGGCCCTGCCCATCACAATAAGACACACACACACACACACACCCCGAGTGGGCACCACGCTCTTTCTGGAGAAGGGGCCACCTCGGATAGGGCTAGGGGTGGGGCAGTGACTATCCCTTGCTGGGTAAGCAGAGGAGCAGCCTGGAGGGGGCCCTGGCACCCTCACCTGGGTGGAGAGGCTCAGGCTGAGGGGAGACCACCTTTCCAAAGGAGTAGCCCTCCCATGGCTGCCCACCTGCTGGGGTGCCCAGTCCTCTTCACCCTTCACCCGCCCCACCCAGATGCAGTAGGTCTGGGGCCCTACCTTGCGGCCGTGCCTCCTGGCCCGGCGGGCATGGGTGGTGCTTACAGCTGGAGCACTTGGGGTCTCCACAGTGAAACTCGGGCTGGACACAGGTGCAGTCCCACTCGGGGCAGGCCTCCGTGTCTGGTGGGGGACAAGGCAGTTTTTAATGGTTGAGCAAATCCCCCAAAGCCCTCAGGCTGAGGGCGCCTACTGGCCTGAACCCTCTGCCCAGCCCGTCCTCCCCAACCACATGACACCCCACCCCATCACCCTGAAGTAGCTTAGCCTGTATGGCCAGAGGCCACCCTGCTGGACAACCTGGGCCTGGAGACCTCCTCCCCTCCTTGACTCCTGGCACTGCTGCAGGCTCAGGTACCCAGGGCCCCCGCCCCCCACACTGCCACCTGCCCCACACCTGCATGGCTACCTCTCACCCAGGGCCAGCAGGTACCCCTGCTTCTGCAGCCTCTGACTAGCACATCCAGCGCCCAGGCATCCCCAATTGCAGGCCAGAGGCAGGGGTGGGCTAGAAGTGGGATCAGAGAGGTCTGTCTGTTGGGACCCCACGCTGGGCAGGTGGCAATCTGGGTGAATGCTGAGGTTGCTTGGCGGTCCCGGCCAAGCTCCGGGTCCCAGGGACCCTGAAGATGGGGGCTCCTGCATCCCTGCCGCCCTGGGTCTCACCCTTAGGCCAGCACCCAGTCATTTGCTACCTCCCAAGATGACCTGTGGCCACCGCGCCCGGACCCTCTCCCTCCCTCGGAGCTTGGCTTACTTGGGGGGCAGGTGCGGCAGCAGCGCGCGTCGGACTCCACCCCGTGCAGAAAGTGACCCGGGCCGCAGCTTGGCTCCGCGGTGGCAGCGGGGAGCAGGCCCAGGCCGAGCCCGCCGAGCAGCGCGACACCGCCCCACCAGGCCGCCAGCGCACCCATCCCTCCCAAGCCTCGGCCCGCCTGGCCGGGCCGCGCTTTTGATCGCCGGGCCACGCCCCGGCCACGCCCCTCGGACTGCCAGAGCTAGCGCTAACTCCGCCCCCGCCGCCGAGCCTGGGGCTCTCGGAGAAGACCAGGACCCCTGACCTGATGGACGCTCGGGGGGCGGAGCGAGGCGGGACACCTGGCTTCTGAGCTGGACCCGAAGGGTTTCAGAGCGGTCAGGGCTGGAGCGGCGGTGCGGAGAGCCCTGTGTCATCGCTGGCACATAGTGGCCCAGGGGTGGTCCGCGGGCAGGGGGGCGGGGAAGGTAAGGGGGTGTTCCTAAGACCCTTTCGCTCCTCCCTTCACAGAGCCCACCCCTCTGAAGGAGTCACCGTTTCATACACCTCCGCTCACCTCCAACGTCCTCCTAGAGTCCCCCCAGAGGCTGGAATGAAGTCCATCATCTCTCAGAGTGTCTGACCCCAGCCAGCCTTGACCCCACACTTGCCCAGGAAGTGTGGCTTCGGGAAGCCTCCCCAAGTCCCCGGCTGAGGGGTCCTGGGAGACCCTTGACCACGTGGAGGGTGGAACTGGGTGGATTTCACCAGCCCTGCCAACTGGTGCCCATTGTCTCAGGACCCTGGGCTCCCCACTCCCCAGGGCAGCTCCTCAAAACTGGGCTGGGGGAGGGGCGTGAGCTGGTGGAAGGAGGGAGGGAGGGTCCTCAGAGAGAGGATCTCAGACTGGGAAAGGCGTCTAACCATTTCTCGGAAATATCTTCCGCCCCATGCACCCCCACCCACCTGGTCCAAGGCCACAGCGTGCTCAGCCACCAGTCCCCTCCCCCCCACCTCCCTGAGCTGGTTTCCCGTGGTCAAAGCAAGAGTTCTTCGGGAGCACAGATGTGACTGTGACGTCACCTACAGGCTGGACGTTGGGGGCAGGCTGTGACACAGGGTCCCAGGACACTGGCGCGAGGCCCCTTTGAGGCCCACTGCTGTCACTTTCCCCCTCTCTGTGGGGAAACTGGATGGGCAGTTTGGAGCTGAGCTACTGTTCTCTGGTCTAAGTTGTGGGGGGCCACCTCCCACGAGGCAAACCTCATGTTACCATAGGTGGGGTCCCATGGTGCATGGAAGTCTGCCAGGGGAGTCCAGGATGGCTGGACAGGAAGAATGCCCCATAATCTGCCCACACTCTGCGGATGCTCTCCTACCACCCAGACTGGACTTATCAGCTAGGTCAGTGGTTCTCAACCTGTGGATCGCGACCCCTTGGGGGTTGAACAACTCTTTCACAGGGGTCGCCTGATTCATAACAGTAGCAAAAGTACAGTGATGAAGTAGCAATGAAAATAATGCTATGGTAAAAAAAAAAAACAAGAAAAGAATGCTATGGTTGGGGGGGGGGTGACTACACATGAGGAACTGTATTAAAGGGTCAAGGTGTTAGGAAGGGTGAGAACCACTGAGCTAGGTGAAAGTGCTGACACTCAGCTCCTGCTCCTGGGAGAAGCCCTAAGCATGGGGCTAGTTCGGAAAGGCTTACAGCAAAAGCACGGGGCCCAAGATGTGACAAACCCTGCAAGTGATGCTTATCAGACTGTGGGGTATTGTTTGGTCTTCAGGAAGCAGAAACTGAGTTAGAAATACCAGGAGTTTCAGAAGTGACGCAGGTTGGAGTGGGGACAGCCCCAGTTGCCGAGCCAACAAGGCCCTGTGCACGAAGGGCCACACCCCACTCAAGGTGTGGGGACACGGCCGGCTCAGCCCTGCGCCAGGCAAATGGGGAAGCTGTGCGGGAAGTCACTTCTTTTTTGAAGAGGGGAGGTGCCGTGTGACTGTCCATGTGATGTCACTTGTGGACACAGTCAAAGGCCAGAGTCCCATCAGCAAAATGCCAGTGCCCACATCATCAGGAACCCCTCCTGAAGGGCGCTCCCTATATTTCACTCTTTCTTAGACGTGCATGCTGCTGGCCATGTGTGCTTGTGGACTGGTCCCAGTGAGAGTGGACCTGTGGACTGGGGCACTCCCAATCCGTCTGATTTTATCAGGCAGGAGGCTCGTCCTCACAGTATCGTCCGAGGCTGCTCCCTGGGAGGGGAGCTCCAATGCCTCTACCCTCCAGCCTTCTAACCAATTGGGACCCTAGCTACCCCTCCCTACTTCTTGGCTGGGTTTGATCATTGGTTGCTATGGCTACCTTCAGGAGGAAGCTAGTGAGCAAGAACCAACAATGCTGACAAAAGAAGTTCAAGCTGCACTGACAGCATCAGCCAAAAACAAGGCCCCAGGAATTGGCAGGATCTCCACTGAAATGTTTCAACAAGCTGAAGAAGCACTGGAAGCACTCACTCATCTAGGCCAGGAACTTTGGAAGACAGCTACCTGGCCAACTGACTGGAAGAGATCCATATTTGTGCACGTTCCAAAGAGAGGTGACCCCGCAGACAGCTCAAACTACAGAACGGTATCATTTCGCTCACACACAAAGAAAATCTGACTTAAGTTCACCCAACAATGACTGCAGCAGTCCGTTGACAGGGAGCTGCCAGAAGTTCAGGTTGGATTTGGAAGAGGACGTGGAACAAGGGATATCTAATCATTGATGTCAGATGGATCTCGGCTCAAAGCAGAGAGACGGTTCCTGTGTTTCATTGACTATGCGAAGGTATTCATTTGACTGTGCGGCCACAATACACTGGGGATCACCTTGAGAAGAATGGGAATTCCGGAACACTTCATTGTGCTCATGAGGAACTTGTACACCGACCGAGAGGCAGTTGTGCGAACACAACAAGGGACGACTGCATGGTTTAAAATGCAGGGGATCCAAGGCCCATTGGTAGGCCACTGGAGATCCCCTTGCAGAGGGGTCTCGGGGAGGGGATGAGACAGTCAGGGTGCGATGTAGCAATGATGAGAAATACAACTTTCCTCTAGTTCCTAAATGTTTCCTCCCCGCTCCCACTACCATGACTCTACCATGACTCGAATTCTATCTGGCAGGACTGGCTAGACCAGAGGAGGTACACTGGTACAGATAGGAACTGAAAATACAGGGAATCCAGGACGGATGAGCCCTATAGGACCAGTGGTGTGAGTGGCGAAACAGGGAGGGTAAAGGGAGAATGGGTAGGAAAGAGGGAACCGAATACAAGGAACTATATGTGACCTCCTCCCTGGGGGACGGACAACCGAAAAGTGGGTGAAGGGAGACGTCGGACAGGGCAAGATATGACAAAATACCCATTTATAAACTATCAAGGGCTCATGCGGGAGGGGGGAGCGGGGAGGGAGGGGAAAAATGAGGACCTAATGTCGGGGGTTTAAGTGGAGAGAAAATGTTTTGAGAATGATGTGCAAATGCGCTTTACACAATTGATGTGTGTATGGATTGGGATAACAGTTGTATGAGTCCCTAGTAAAATGTTAAAAAGTAAAAAATAAAATAAAACGCAGGAAAGGTGTGTGTCAGGGTTGCATCCTCTCACCGTGCTTGTTCAATCTGTCTGCTGAACAAATCCCCAGAGAAGCTGGATTATACGGAGAAGAGTGCGGCATTAGGATCGGAAGAAGGCTGATTAACAACCTGTGATATGCAGATGGCCCGGCCGTGCTTGCTGAAAGGGAGGAGGAAGTGCAGCCTTCGGTCTGGATTACAACTGGACCCATAGGTCACATCATGATCGATGGAGAAAAGGATGAAGTTGTCGAGGATTTCGTCTCCCTTGGATCCAGTCAATGCTCATGGAAGCAGCAGTCGAGTGATCAAGACATTGTGCAGTAGGCAAACCTGTACAAGACTCCTTTAGAGTATTGAAGAGCAATGATGTTACTTCGAGGACGAAGGTGCACGTGACCCAAGCCATGGTATTCTCCATTGCCTCCTATGCATGTGAAGGTTGGACATTGAATAAGGAGACCGTAGAAGAATCGAGGCATTCGAATTGTAGTGCTGGAGAAGAATACTGAAAGTGTCATGGGCTGCTAAAAGGGCAAACCAATTTGTACTGAAAGGAGTCAGGTCAGCGTGCTCCTTAGAGGCAAGGATGGTGAGACTTGGTCTTCCATACTTGGGACATATTGTCAGGAATGACCAGTCCCTGGAGAAGGACATCATGTTTGGTAAAGTGGAGGGGCAGCGAAGGAGAGGAAGACCCTTGAGGAGATGGATGGACCCCGTGGCTGCAGCCATGAGCTCAGGGGTAGGAACCATTGTGCGGCTGGCGCAGGACCGGGCTCTGTTTTGTTGTGTTGTGCACGGGGGCGTTATGAGTTGTAGCTGACGCCTAACAAGAATAGCAGGTTCCAACTCAAGTGCCACATCAACTTGGAAATGAGAGGGACAACCCTAGCCAACCCACCCACCCACTGCCCTCGTCCATTCTCACGCCTCGCCATCCTACCAAGGGCAGGGTAGAGTCTCTCCTTCAGTTTCCAAGTATTGCGTTCCTAAATACCCTGTACCCGAGTACCCTGTGTATGCAAGCCCTGTAAACTGTGTGCCCTGTGTATCCTAAAGCTCCCAAGCCAAATTCACAGCCATCCGGTTGATGGCAACTCATAGTGACCCTCCCTACATGGGGCTTCTGAGACTATAAATCTTTATGGGAGCAGACAGCCTCATCCCATTCTGTCAAAGCTGCTGGTGGGTGTGAACTGTCTACCTTATGGTTAGCTGTCCAATGCTTATGCCACAGGGCCACCAGCCTCCTTACCTTGTCTGTGTGTGCCCTGAGTAGCCAAGTTCCCTGTGTACCCGAGTGTCCTGTGCGTGCACCTGAGCACCGCGTCCCTGAATGTCCTGTGCACATTGCACCTGAATAACCTGTGTCTCCGAGCGTCCTGTGTGCCTGGGTGCTTTCTGTACCTGTGTACCCCGAGTCCCTGAGTGTCCTGTGTCTGTGTGCTGTGGGTAGGTAGGTGCCCAGTGTCTCTGGGTGCTCTGTCCCTGGGTGCCTGCTTAGCATGTGGCATCTGAGTGACTAGAAGGGGCGGGTGGGGGAGTGGTTTGGATGGGAGGGGTGGGATTGAGGAGGACCTGTACACCAGGGTGGCATGTGTTGGGGCCGTGCCAGCCTCAGGAGCCCCTGACCATGGGGAAAGGAAGCGCCTCCTCTAAGACCCAGAGGCACGCACAGTGCTGTCTGCTGGCTCTGGGGCAGCTGCAGTGGCGCTAAAGCTTCTCTTCTCCCACAGTGAACACACACTCCGAGTTTCTCCAGAGCCAGGCCGATCAACCGGCACGCCACAAAGGAACCGACCATGATGGCTCATGTCCACTCACGGCACCTGCCAGGGACACCCAGGGGCCAAGGCTCTCTCGTAGCATGGACAGGGCCCTGACTGCAGGCACTGGGTTCTTCCTGGGGAGCTGCTGCATTTGATGAACATGTTGCCACCAAGTGACGTCTGGGCCCAGCCTGGGATGCCTGGGAACACAGTTGCTAGCATGTTCTGATCACTCGTGCTCCTCGGCACACAGCCAAGGGCAGTGGACACCCGGGGCAGATGATGATGGCCTCGTCAGGGGCCACCAGCTCTCCTAGTGCCTGTCCCATCACCACTCCTACCTTCTGGAGCACCAGGCCAGCGATGGGTGGGAGAGGGCCTGGGAGGGGGTACACCCCTCCTTCACCTATTCATCCCAAACTGAGGGTTGGGCCCTGACTTTGCCAGCTACACGGGGTCTGCATGAGGGGGCCAATTTGCACGTTCTCCTTGAGCAGGGAACTGACGGAGCTGGTGGTCTAACATCCTTTGGGGGACAGCCCCTGCTCCCCGGTCCAGGGCATTGGGGATGGGGGTGTCTCTTGGTAGGACTCGGTCCAGGTTTCCCTAGCTCCCTGGGGGAGCAGCTTTGGGCTGTTTTTCCCAAAGACACTTACTTTGGCTTTTTTATCACACACAGCCCTGCCCCCCAAGAACCCCAGGACATCCCACTCCTGGAGAATGAGGACAGGGTCCTGTGTGTGGTTGAGGGTCTCCACTGCTCACAGTGCCCTGGCCTAGACCCCTCCCCAGTCAGAAATGGACACCACCCCATCTTCCCCCCTGAATGGGTATCCCACCCCCTAGCTTCCGACAGGTGTGTCCCCAAGCCCATCCCTCTTCAAATGTGTGCACCCCTGTCCTTCAGTGGGTACATGTCCCCCCACCCTTTTCTCCCAAAGGGTCAGCGCCCTGCTCCTCAGGGGATCTGCACCGCCCTCCCTAGCCCCCACATCAAGACACACTGCATAAGGTCGACTTGCTGCACAAGAGCTCTTTGGAGCATCAAAAAGCAAGGATGCGGGGTTGAGGGCTAAGGTGGTCCTCACCCCAGCCGTGGTCTTCTCGGCTGCCTCGTGTGCATGTGGGAGTTGGGCACTGAAGCAGCAGCGATGTATTTGAATGGGGGCTGGAGAAGAGCACTGGACACTGGACAAGCCGTCAGGCCAGAGTGCTCCCTAGAGGCCAGGATGAGGAGGTGTCATCTTACACACTCTGGACATGCTGTCAGGAGAGACCAGTCCCTGGAGAAGGACATCGAGTTTGGAAAAGCGGCCGGGCAGCAAGAAAGAGGAAGGTGCTCAATGAGATGGACAGACCCAGGGGTGGCAGCCATGGGCTCAGGCAGAGGAACCACTGTGAGGACGGTGCAGGACCGGCCCTTGCTGGTTCTCTGGGGCACAGGGTCGCTATGGGCGGGAGCCGACGGACTCCACGCCACCTAACAAGCCCTCCGAGCCCCTCCGAGCCCTTCCCCGGGCATCCATCTGCCCGAGGCGGACACTCTCAGCCCTCAGTGGCCACAGGAGGCCCTGTGTGTGACAGTCTTTATTGGGGGTGGCTCTGGGCAGGAGTATGCACGACATACGTACTGGAGCCCGGGGCCAGCCCAGAAGCACCTAAAACGGCGCACGGGGCTCAGGGGCTCAGGAGCAGGGGCTCAGTCTGCCGGGGACGCTGGCTCCATTCAGACCTTGGCCAGGACGGAGTGCTCGTCAGCATGCTCCTCTTGGATGGGGGTCCTGAAGCTGTTGCCCCCTGAGGAAGAGGGCATGGTAAGTGGGGCGTGGTGGGGTCCCCTCCTGTGGGAGATCGGAGCTGGACAGCGCAGGCACTCACCTGGGGGTTTGGGGGTGGCCAGCTGGGGCCTCCAAGCCTGGCGGTTCAGGGCCAAGGCGAGTGCGGCAGCTGTGACACCCAGCAGGCCCACGCCGACGCCCAGGATGACAGACAGCACAGGGCCTGTGGGGACAGGGCCAGCTGGGGTGGGGTCTGCAGGGAAAGGGAGACCCTATCCCTACCATCCTACCTCCTTGGAGTAAAGCCAACTCCTTACCCCCAGGGAGGCCCATGGGGGCCTTAGGGGGCCTCTGTGAAGCCCCGGTGTGGGCAGTGGTAGGCTGGGCAGTGGTGAGCAGGGCTGACGAGTGCTGGGTGCTCCTGGGTAGCATGGTAGCTGGAGGGTTCCTGTCCTCACAGATGGCATCCGAGCTGTTAGTGGCCGGTTTCAGGGTGCGCCTCCCCGTGGAGGAGCAGCTGTGGGGGCAGGGGGTGAGCTGGTCAGAGGAGATCTGATCCCCACCTGGGTGGGCCTAGAATAAGGACTCCAATAGGAGGTCCCACCCGGAGTGCACTGTGGTGGGAGGCCTGCACTAGGTCAGGCTGTAACAGGGGTCCACTCTGGGTCAGCCCTTGGGCAACATTCTCACCCATCTCAGACCCCGGACCAAAGGCACCTGCTGCCTCCGACCCTTGGAACCTCCGCCGGGGCCTCCCTGAGCCCTTTGTTCCTGCAGGAGCCTCCCCCATGCCCTCAGCCCCCCTCACTCTGTGCCTTACACTGGCCTGGCCTGCCCACACCCACACAGAATCTGTGCACTCTCAAACCCTCTCTCCTACTTGCCTCCTTCTGGAATGTCAGCTCCAGCTGGGGGCTATCACACACACACTCACACACACACACAAACACACACTCCTCCATCCCATGCCAATGCCCCACGATGCTTCAGTACAGGGTAGAACTGCCCCTGTGGGTTCCTGAGGCTGTAACTCTCCAGGGGAGTAGAAAGCCCCGCCTTTCCCCTAAGGAGCAGATGGGGGTTTCAAACTGCTGAGCTTGCAGATCGCAGCCCAACGTGTAAGCACTACACCACCAGGCTCCTGAGGACTGGCTTGTGCACACACCCAAACACACCGACACAGACACGCGCTCACACACTTGCTCACGCACACCTTCACATTCATATTCACATATCAGAGAGCGTCTCTCCTGGGACCTGGGCCTGGTCACACACCGTACTCTGGCTCATAGGGTGGGCCCACCACCACCCAGGCCCACAATACCCGGATCCCCTCCCCAGCACCCTTACTAAGATCCCATGCCTGCCACTTACTCTGTCCAGGGCTTACATGCCTGGTTTTGGCCTGGGGAAAATTGTCCTGGCGGGCAGGGGGCACAGTCTGCAGGGGGAGACAGGACAGGCTGGGCCCCAGGCTGCACCAGAGCCTAGCCCCAGCCCTCAAGGGGTCCCCGCGTGGTGTGCGTCCCGGGCTGCGGGCTCGACTCACCAACTCCCAGCTTATAGCCGCCCTGAGGCTGGGTGCCGGGCCTGCAGTGGCAGATGGTGTCCCTTGTGGAAGTGCAGCTCTGTGCAGGCTCACTCCCGCTTCCTGGGCATAGGTGATGGGTGGAGGGTGATGTTAGGGCCAAGGCAAGGGTCACGGTGGGTCCAAACCAAAACTTGCCTTTCCCGGGGTCTGTGCAAACTTCAAGGGCCAGGAGTTTAGCCCTGTCTCCCCAAGTTCCAGAACCGGGCAGCCGTCAGGTGTTTAGCAGCTCCTGGGGCCTCCCCTTCCTCCAGAGCCCGTCCCAGACAGACAGGCCAGCTCAGACTTAGGGGAGGCCCATGTGGCTGGAATAGGCCTCACCCCACTGTGACTTCCTCTCCCGGTGGGACCCCCAGGAGCAGCCCACAGAGTTGGGGTTTGTTTCCGGGCTGTGTGGGGACTCCATGCAGCCACATGTGACAGTTGGGGGTGGTTGTGGTCTCCCAGGGCCAGGCCAGTGGGTGAGGTAGGTGTGTGTGTGTGTGAGTGCGTGTGCGTGCGCGCACGCGTGGTGGGGCTACTTACTCTCATTGCACTGGGTACACGGCCTGCAGTCCTCGTAGTTGAAAGCGTCATTATAGTAGCCTTCCTGGCACGGCTGGCACTCAGTGTCCAGAGACTGGTCGTCACAGCGACGCTTCATCCCATAACCTGTGCGTGGAGGCGGGGGCGGGACCCAGCGCTGAGTCCCTTCACCTGGAGACCAGGCACCTGGCTGGACCCTGGATCTTCCACCCCCTAGTGCCAGGCTCTAACAAGAGACCCAGACTCTGCCTTCACTGCCAGCCCCCTCTGGGCTGCCCCTCGCCTCCTCCCCCACTTGCCCTTTGCAGGCCAGCAGGCCAGGCCCTCACCAGGCTGGCACTCATGACAGCACCTGCTGCCACTGGGGTAGGTGGCCCCATTGCAGGTGAGCTCGGCCGAAGGATGGAAGGCCGATGCCAGGAGCAGCAGCACCAGCTGTACCCCCGCACACATCCTTGTCTCTGCAGAGTCAGGGCCCTCTTGCAGGATGTGCCTATAAAGGGCTGAGGGGGAGGGGCCAGCTGGAGGGGGAGGAGCAGGAGGAAATGGAGGCCTCAGGGACCCTCCCCCCCACCCAGTCTGGGCCTTCTCTCCTGCCTGCGCCCCAGCCTTAGCTACCACACTAACCTCAGGGCCTGGTCCTGCCTGCCCCCTCACCTTGTATAGCTAGGCCATCCACAGAGGTCAGAGCCCCCTGCCCAGCACTCTCCTCAGGGATCCCCCCTTGCTGGCACTAACTCCCTGCCTGGAGTGGGGACTCTCTGGAGGCTGCTCCTGCCTCAGCCTCTCCACAAAAGGCCTGCCCGTGGGTAGAGCTCCTGCTGTCTGGTCAACCCAGTGCATCAGAGAGGGGCAGGCACCGTACGGCTGGCAGCCATGGGTGCAGGGCAGAAGCTGGGGTGGGGCTAGACTGACCAGGGATAATCCAGCGACTGGCAGTGACCGCACAGCAGGTGCAGCTAGGTGTGTGCACGTGTGTCCTCGGGACTGCACTCCACGTGTGAGGATGGGTGTCCACTTGTGGCTGCTCCCGAGGGTGGACTCAGGCCCAGGCACCTCGGCGGTCGATCCAAACTCTGACTCCGGCACAGGTCATAGAGCGGGACTTCGGGACCCCACCCTAACACTAAGTTTAGCCTCCTAGCCTGGGCTTCAGGCTGCATGATGACCGGAGCACCCCACACTGGAAGGGTTCTCGGCCTCACGCGGCTGCGGGAACACTGTGCACGTCATCACGGTGATGTGAGCAGGGAAAGAGCGTGAGCACGCAGACACCCCACACACACACACAGATCCACACATGCACACACTTGCCACACACCCCATTTGCACTCATCCATACATACCTATGCACATGGCATGCATACATGGAGACACACAAAAAAACCATACATCCCTGTGTACACATGCACAGACACATTTACAGATGTCAGGCCTATAGCCACACCTGTGTATACGCACACTTGCACACACACAGGAGACGTGCGCACACTCACCCAGCTGTTCTACATATTGGTTTCAGGGGGACGGGGACAGCATAGATGTCAGGGGGCCCTTTGATGTGTTTTAACTTGTGACGCTGTGATTATCTACTCCCAAAACTGAGCTTGCCAGGGGTCTCCCAGTTCTTTCCTGCGCTGTGTGGAGAAGCGCACCTGGCAGGGCAGAGCCCAAACGCAGGGCCCTGGAGTGGACCCCGGCGGCCCTCGGAGATAGAACAGGGCTGCCAGCAAACTGCCCCACAGTCTGTTTCTGAGGCTGTTGATCGTAACGGAAGCGGAGTGAGGATGCCACCGAGACGTGGAAATTCCCCTCACCTGGAAGCATTCTGCCGGGAAACTCCACAGCTCCCTCCACCGCTGCCGTGTGGGAGGGGGCGGGGGTCAGGCTCTCCTCCCCAAGCCTCAGCGTGCGTTTGTGCGTGCGTGATGTGGGCCCGTGCACGCGGCAGCTACACTCCTCACCACACAACTTCCTGCCGTTGCTGCCAGTCCCGTCTTTCTTTCTAGCCCCTCTCCTCCCGACAGCGCAAGCCTGGCATTTGCCGTGAAAAGCAGACTGGTTTCCTGAGGGGCCTCAGGCTCCTGCGGCAGCCGTGTTCTCCCCCTGGGGTGCCCCAGTTGTCTACCATGGGCCCAGCCGCCTGACCTGGTCCCTCTGAGCTCCAACGTCAGGGGCAGGGGGCCCCACCGCCAGCAACTCAGGTGGGAAAAGCTGGAGCGGCTCGGCGGGGTGGGGGTGAGGGAATGCGAAGCCCCCACTCGGCAGGCGTGATCAAAGGATGCCCAGCCGCCTGGGCCTGCTGAGGCAGGATGGCATGTGACCCGCTCCCTGGGGGCTTCGTGTGGACCTGAGAGGGTCAGGTGGGGAACCAACTTGGGCAGGCACCCAGGAGCAGATGGAGAGAGCACCCAGGCAGGCAGGGCGGGCCGACCCTGAAGCCAGGTCACACTCACAGGGCAGAGGTCACTTGTTCCAGGCACAGCACAGTCACCTGTATACCTGACTGCTACCCACACCAACCTGCATGGCTAGCCCCCCTGTGGGCGGGCCAGGATTCTCATTGACCTGGCCATCCCTCACGGTGGGATCTGATGTGATCACCTCCTGGCTAACTTGCTCCTCGCCGGCTCATCACCTGATGTTTACTTCCGCCAATCTTGGGGTCATCAGACCCTACAGTTATGTGTGTCAGGAGGGCCTCCGGCGTCACATCTGACCCACAGACTTGGAACTTGCCCGCCTCCACAACAGTGTGCGCCACTTCCTAAAGATGAACCTCTATCCGTGTGCACATGCGTGCATATCTTACTTCTCTAGAGAACCAGTCTAAGTCCCTCCCGAAACCTCCTGCTGGCCCATAAGAAAGAGCACCCAGTGTCCCCAGCTGGGTGACAACTTAGGGGGCTGGCCCTCCGGTGTGTCGAGGCTTGTGGCAGCCTGCATTCCTATCAGAAGACAGTGGCTGCCCCTGTCTATTGGCAGCCTCCCAACACTGCCCATCAGATTCCCTACCAACTAACATCGGGCTCGGAGCTGAGGGGCCTGGGCAGCACCTTGGGGCTCCTTGCTCCCCGGGAGCCGCCAGCCACAAGGTCAAACCCACCACTGTTATAATGAAAGAAGAAAGCTGGGAGGAAACAGACAGCTCTATGTTAAAAGCGATGAATGACTCCCATCAACAGTGAACGTTGGCATGGCCACATCGCCCAGTGTGGGCGGTACCCACAGGTCTGATATGTGCTATGCCCAGGCTGGACAGCTGCCTGCTGCCCCACGGCACCTCCCAGTCGCACAGAGGCTCAGGGCACAGCACGCCCTCTCCTCTCAATCTGCTTCTAAAGAGACGCAGGTGCCGTGCAGGCTCCCAGTGCCTCACAGATGCCCCAGGTGGGTCTCAGTGCGAGGAGAGCGCTGTGTGTGGCCAGGGAGACTGGTAACGGTTCAGTCTGGTGGGAAGGGGAGAAGGGTCCAAAAGGTGCCACCTGCAGCCACGGCCACGAGGCTGGGGCGGGCGGGGCGGGTCAGAACTCCTCGTGCACGCTGCGTGCGTAGTCCACCAGCTTGCTGCCCGTGAAGAACTCGCTGTACTTGAGGACCTCCTCGGGCTCCAGGTGGTGGTTCTGGTTCTCGTCGGCGACGGCGATCATCTGCTTGGCCTCGTTGAGGGCGTTGTACTCGTTCATGGGGTCCATGTACTCCTGCCACAGAGGCCGCCAGGCCGTCAGTGGAGGCTGGGCCAGAGCTCGCCCACCCACTGCCGCCATCAGAGGAATGGAGGCCCCCTCACCCCCCCCACCCCCGCCACCCTCCAGGGCCTGGCTTCCTGTTCATGATGGATGGCGACCCCCTGGGAGAGCCAGGGGCTGTCTGAGCACCCAGCCCCCCCACAGGGCCGCTTGGAGGCCGAGTCACTAGGCAGGGCAGCAGTGAGTTCTGGCCCAACTCAATCCACCAGGGACACCTATCCCTGCCCCCACCCCACAGAGGCCCACCCCAGCATGGTCCTGTGGCCCCCCACCCCCCACTTGATCTCCTGCCCCCAGCAGTGGCCCCCCCACACCTCCAGCTCCTCTGGGGTCACAATGCCATCATGGTTAGCATCGATCAGCTCCTCAAACTCCCTCTTCCTGTCTTTGACCCAGTTGTCATCGATGTCCTGGGCCTGCTGGTTCTCCACGGTGCCCACGGGCAGGGATATGAACTCGGGTAGAGAGAGCCGCTTGTCACCATCCTGGTCTGCAGGGCAAAGGCACGTAAGCTACTGGGCCCATTGGGCATCAGGGACATCAAGGCAGGCTGTGCCCCCCTGGGTCTCAGTGATGTGAAGGTGCCGGGCCCCTGCCTCACCCAGGTCGCGCACGACTTCCTTGACCATGAACTGCAGCATGCCGCGGCTGTGCTCCGGGTGCTGGAAGGACAGGAACTCCTCCTCGGTCAGCAGCAGGTCTGAAGGGGGGTTGTCCGCCTGGTACCAGCGGTCCTTGAGGTTCTCCAGGACTTCCTGTGCTGAGAGGCGCCGGCTGTGAGGACCTCAGCCCACTGTGGGCCAGGCGCTGAGGCGGCCAGACACGGGGCACTCGAGGGCTTCAGAGTCAATCAAGAATTTCCTCTGAGTCCTTTGTCCGCCCCCCACCCCGGGAGGGGGAGATTTCTAGAGTCTGCTAGAAAAACTCTACCAGACCCCAGTGGGAAGAACTGTGAGAACCAAGACCCTCCCGTACCTCCTGACGACAGACCCGCGGGGAGATCACAAGCAGGGGGACAGATGACAGCACGACCTCTCCCTATGTGCCCGCAACAGGGCCTGCTGTTCATCCCTCCTCTTACTTTCCATGAGGGCATTGCTAGTCTTGTAGTTCCCACTGTGAAGCCACCGAAAAGTGCCCTCATTCAAGCCGGCCCGACAGAGCCAGCCGAGGCCCCTCACCTGAACCTGTCTCTCACCGCACCTCGTGGGGAGGGGGGTTCCCAACCACCCCCCACCTACTTCTCCTTGGGGTGCTCAGGCCCAATGGAGTGACTCCCTGCGCCGGTGGCCAGGAGAGTCCCCCTAGTGTCGGAGCTGTTCTACCCACTCCACCCTCTGCCCTGAACCCTCCCCAGCCCCACCTCAGGGTCTGCCTGCCAGCCAGAGGCCCTGGCCACTGTCCCCTTGTCTCTGCCCAGCCCTCTACCACAGAAGGTCCACACAGTGCAGACGGCTGTCACCAGGCCTGAGAGGCAGAAGCCGGGAAGATGGTGGAGAGGTCTCAGGGGTGCGGGGTCCCAGGACTGCACCCGTGTTCCCTGTCCCCGAGCAGTGGCAGTGAGCGTGGAGGCGCCCAGGACTGTTTACAGGAGGAGGGAAGGGGATGCCCGCTTTGGACGGTTTGAAGGAAACCCCAGTTTCTAGATCTGACTGGAGGCACAGCCAAGCGAACTTTCCACAGGCTCCTTCTGCACAAGGCCAAGGCGGCTCTGAGGACGGCACCCACCCCCACCTCGGGGAAGTGCAGTGCCCACGCTGGGTGTGGCTACCCAGACCACGGCTTGCTAAAGCCAGGGCCTGGGCCCACAGAGCCTCTGCGGCTGGACAAACACCTAGTGGGTGGGGCTGGCACCCTTAGGCAGCCCTTGGGCAGCAAGTGTCACCGGCAGCGAGATGGGGTGTGGTGGTGGGGGTGTCTTTCCAGGTCCCCGCTACCAATACCTGTCTGCCATTTAGTCAGCACTTCACACAGCTTCTGGCACTTTCTGCCTCCTCTTCTCTAGAAGCTGAAGTCCCTCCTCCCCACCCCTCACCCCTGAGCACTCTTCCTAGCACTCCGAGCACCCCAGTGCTATGTCAGCCCCGCTGGACCTCTATACTCCAAGTGCAGCCCAGCTGGGTCAGGGCACAGGTCCAGCTGGCATGCCCATGGCAGACGTCTGTCCCTGCCATTCCAACACCAGACATGAGGTCACTCGAGCTGTACCCACACACATGTGGGGACTTGTATACGCACACACACGAGGGAAGAACCCCGGAGAGGCCTGGGACCCGAAGGTGGGGAGTGGCGGGCTGAGTGGACCGCGCTCAGACTCACTCTCCTCGTCCACCTTCAAGTCCTCGTTGTTCTTGATCCTCTCGGCAACCTCTCGCGCATCGTGGCCCTTGCTGGCCAGGAACTTCACCCGGTACTCGTCCCACGACACTCGGCCTGCAGAGGGGCCATAGGCCACAGGCTTCAGGAAGCCAGGGGGCTGCTTCTGAAGAAAGACCCCAAGTTTCCTACAGCCTGTTAAACTCCTGGAGCTGCAGGTGGCTGGGCGACCAGGCATCAGCTGCCCAGCTCCACGTTCCCCCTCAGATTGTAGGGGCCACCTGGAAGACGGCCTGTGGCTAGGCCTCCCCCCTCACTACCCCCCCCTCGTCTGGGTCCAGGGGCAACTGAGAGTGGTCCTGCTCCATGCCAGCTGGGTGTCCTGCCCTCGCTGACACGACCTCAGAGCCCCAACAGGGAGCCAGGGCGCTCCCGGGGGGCCCACAGGGAACAGGCCCTAGAGGCAGCAGCATGAACTCGGATGTGGCAACTGATGGGCACGCAGCCCTCCCACCCGAGATCCCCACCGCCACCCAGACCCAGTACCGTCGCCGTCAGGGTCCACGGCTCGGAAGTGTAGCTTGTTTTCGCGGACGGCCTCCTGGAAGTGCTCGGCCGTCTTCTCCATGATCCAGCGCTGCATCTCCTTGGCGCTGATCCGGCGGTCGGCGTTCACATCCACCCTGCAGGGATGGGTGGGCCTGTCAGCCTGGCCACCAGCTGCTCACCCCACGGGTGCAAAGTGTGGGCAACGGCAGCTACAAGGGGTGTGGGCCTTCTCCATCTCCAGGAGGCTGGCCGGCAGACAAGTGGGCCCTCCCTAAGAGCCACCGGGCCGCAGGCTGGCTGTCATCCCAACCACAGCGTCACCCAGCTGCTCCTGTCCTGTCCCAGTGCCCCCTTCCTCTGGGGTCACACGAAGCCCCTCCAGCACCCGTGAGCTCACAGGGTTGGGAGAGTGACTTGAAGACCAAAGTCATGTTCTGGGGCCACTTTGGCCACTTCAGGGCTCGCTCCTCAGGGGATGGGGGTGGTGGGAGGGGGGGCAGCCACACCCTCTATGTCCCTAAATGCCACACATCACCATGGGCCACCTCAAATACCTCCAGCTCCACAGGGCACTGGGCCCAGGCGAGGTCCCTGCAACAGCACGGTCCCTGTCCCCCCAAGGGCAGGGCAGGAGGGGCAACAGGCTGGCAGCCACCTCAGCCACACACAGCAGGCACAGCAGATGGTCTCCCCACAGCCCCGCCTAAACACGGGACGCTGGGCTCGGGTGGGAGTCAGAGCACCACAAGCGCAAACCCGCGTGCACAGGAAGCAGGCTTGTCCAAGGGGTGCAGTGGCTGGAAAGAACCAGAGCCCCGCCCCCAGACCTGGCTCTCCGCAGCTTCTCAGAGGGCACTCTCCGACCGGAAGGGCAGCGTGCACCGGGCCGTCTCCCACAACAAGGTCCGGGAGTGTCCGGGAGAAGAGGAGGGCTGCCACAGGTCACCACTGGGCAGTGTGGCCCATGTGCACGGTGACCTACGGGAGCATGGCTACGCCAGCGAGAAAGGGCCTCCTGACAGAGGAAGTGCAGAAGCCACGGATGATGCCCAAAGAGTCTGGTGGCCCAGCAGGCGTCATACTGGTGTGCTAACCACAAAGTCAGCAGTTCAAGACCACTGGCCGCTCCATGGGAGAAAGTTGAGACTTTCTATTCCGGTAAGGATTTAGTCTTGGAAATCCACAGAGGCAATTCTACCTTATTGTGGAGGGTCACTGTGAGTCAGAGTCACTGGGGCTCACCTCCCACATGGCAAGGCTGGGTAGGGGTCAACAACCGCTCCCAAAGCCAGGGAAAAGGGGAGGGGATTTTCAAACGGAGACCATGCCAGACATGACCATAACCAAGTACTGATCACATGAGGGCACCCTGCACCCCAGTGTCAGACGATGAGGAGCCCCCTCACCTCCTCACCCCCTGGCCTTTCTCCCATAAGCCTCAGCTCTAGCCTCATCCGGAGCAAACAACTCCAAGCCCGGGCTAGCACCCTGAAGGGAGTCTGAGAAGCTTCAGGCAGGAGAAGCCTCTGGGGACCCAAGACTGAATGTATGGGGTGCCTAATGGGGTCCCTGCTGGAGCAGGAATTGATCTTAGTGGAGCAGCCTGCATCTGGGCGGGTCTGGATGGAGACAGCTAGGATGTTCTCCCTGGGCACCCAGCCTGCACTGAGCCAGAAGGTCCCCACAGAGCAAAGCTTCCACCACTACCTTGCCCTGCCCTCTGCCCCAGACTTACTGCACTAGCCCCTGCTCTGGGCTACCACGCCTGGCCGTGCGGGCCCTGGGGCTCCAGATTCGGACACATGGCAGCGGGAGGCCAGCACAGGGTCAGTGTGGCCGGATCTCACCTCCAGCCCCATCCAAAGCCCACACTGCTCCCCAGGTACAGGGAAGGTCTGTACGCCTGGGCATCTTGAGGCACTGGCCAGGTGGGGAGCGCTAGGGTACCCTCCCTATGTACACCAGGATCCCCAAACTCTCGAAACAAGGCTCCTTTCTCCCAGTTTCCTCCTCCCCCTGGCCCCCAGGAAGCCGTGGAGCCCAGCAGGTGGGTGCTGAGTGCCCACAGGCAGAGGCAGCTCCTAGAGAAGCAGTGCGCTCGTCGCGAAGGCCTAGGAAAGGCAGCACTGCCCCCTGCTGGCCGTCTGAGACGTGTGGCAGCAAACCCCCCTGGGGGAAGCTCCAGCCACAGGCGGCCCGCCTGGGCCGGGAACCCAAGGCACTTCCTGTGAAAACTGCAGGACTCTTCCTGTTATGACTGAACTATTGAATTATGTGATGTGTGGATTAAATGCCAATACAACTGTTTAAATAACAAAACTGCAGGATGTCTCTGGGAAGGGCACCATGGGCACAGCGCACCCCCTCCTCTGGTCCTCCACCCCTTCTCAACAGGTCCCCCTGGCTCTTCCCATCCTGTCCTCCCGGGTTCCCTGATACCCACACCTCTGGGACCCCTTTCTCCTGTGCCCCACAGTCCCAAGGCTCCTACTCTCAGGACCTCTTCTCCCTGATGCGCTTGGTGTTCCGTCCACACACGATCCATCCGACCTAGACCCCTCTGCAGATGTCCACACCCACAGCCTCCAGCCTGCAGGCCCTGCCACTCTCAGCGGCTACCCACCAGAGGCCCAGGCAGCTCGGGTCAAATCTGGGCATTCACTTACAATCCCCCAACCCATCAGCCAAGTCAGCTGTTCCATTTCAGAACATGCCTGGGGGACCCCGACTTTGCCAAAGCTGCCCTGTGGCCCGAGTCCCTGCCACAGCCAGCCTGACTCCATTCTTCACCCGCTCCACCAGACGCACCCAAGTCAGACAGGGATGCACACCCAGACGGGGGCACTGAGGTGAACAGTGTAGGGCAGGGACGAGGCTGGAAGTTGGGTTCTCACAGCTTTTCCAGGTAGGCAGCCCCCTACCAACCCCACCCCACCTAGCTGCCCTTGTCCCTGTGCAATGGCAACCACCCCAGGTTCCCAACAGCACTCCCATCCCCCTTGGCCT